TCTCCGTTAGAAGAAAGCAAACTCCCTGTACATGCTGTATTTTGTGAGTGTATGGTCAAAACTGAGTTTTTTGCTCTTAAGAGGTGAGGTGAAAGAACTTCCATGACTTCAGCAAGGCAGCTACTCAATAGCTTTTCTATTGGGCACGCCATGATGTAAACAAGTTTTGTACAAGACAGTTTCTCCTAAGAACACAAAGAGCTGGTTATCTAATCGAAATTTAGCCAGTGTTATACAAAACCATGTCCTTAGCCATTTTCAGTTTGCCCAATGCTTTATCTAAACCTCGTTTATTGTGAACAATTTCACGAAAGAATATATTGTGGCGAAAGGCTTTCATCACCTAGGAACAGATCTGGAGACTTAATAAGATTTGAGCTCGGCTTAAGCCGTGAATTTTATAGACTTCTTTTACGTAACCCACCCAAAGCCGGGTCATAAGAACACGCTTGAAGTCCTCCACGTGGAAATTATTGTTGCGTCACACTGATACGTACGTTACATAACAGGATTGATACTTCTTAAATAATCGTTGTTTGTTTGATAAGGCCGGTATTAAGCACGTGGTTTGCCTCAAAGGACACAAATGCGAAATTGATTAGAGCAATCCCTCTATCTTATACAAGGCAGTATTATTACTTCTCAAATAATCGTTGTTGTCGTCTTATAGCTTCAAATGAAGACACGACATTTTTTTCCCGTAAAGTCAATGTAACATAGAAACTGAAGGAGTTTGGACACCGTACGATGCCTACACAACGTAACAGTAGATGGCACTGAAGTTAACGACCAAGGGAATGATGTTTTTTCATATAGCCTTCATAGGAAGTCCAACTTATCTTAGGTCAGCGTTTTTTTTTGCTGTATTACCCTTTTGCACACTTACGGAGGGGCCCACAGACCTGCTTTGCAATAAAAACAAGTCCTAGTTGAGTACCGTATCAAACAGTACCAAAATAGAACTAAAAAATATTGATGTTGTTGAGCTGTCATTTTACTCCTATTCTTGTCTAAGCTATTTTCTTTTTCAATATTTTTAAAGCTAAATGCAACTGAGGGGTAACAATACAAAATAAGCAAAAGAAAAAACTGCTAATAAAAGAAACTCCTTTTAAATAAAAATATTTTCCTAAAGGATCAGCCGACAAGAAAGCTGATAGTGCTGCTCAAAATAGTTTATAGATTGGATTGGTTATAAAGTCCATCAGACTGCTTTGTTATATGTTGTTGTGAACTTCAGAAGGTGAAGGCTTGTCCCGCACTAAGGTGTGGTTATTTTGGCACCATTAATCTTCAACGGGATCCTACTCGAGACTTTTCAAAGAATCGGGTATAAGATTTCGAGAGCACGAAAGCTTTACGACGTCAGCCAGCGAAATAAATATCTAAACGGAGAGTTGAAAAATTGACTATTTCTAGCAAAAATATATAAGGCGTGCGTGTCTGAACGAAAATGCTTCTTACTAACAGGCGGGGGTAAAATATTCGGAGGCCAAGACGGCAACCCAAATCTATCTCCTGCAGTGGCATAAAGGTGAGAGATGTAAGCTGCTTCCTATGAAATGTAAAACTGGTTTTGTTAAGTACCCTAGACACCTCGTGGTTCAAGCAAAATGGTAAGATTGACTTACTAGCTTTGTTTTGAGGACGTTTATGAGGGAAAAACCCTTGAGGGCGAGGTTGAAGACTTACTAAAAGTAACGTCAGTGGCTGAAAGTTATATTCCTATAATCTGAATCATTTTAATGTTAAAACATCTTAATTAACACTCCAGATAAAAGGTGACTGAAATTGTCATGAAGTAAACAAAATTTCAACATGCTTAAAGTAGGTGTGAACGAGGTGTAAGATGGATATTTAGTACTTGAAAAAGATCATAGGATTTGTCAATTTTAAAGCAAATTAGCATTAAGACACTGTAAGCAAAAGAGACAAGGTCACGCTATTTGGAGTTAGGGCTGGATGGCTTTATTCTGTGGCAATTGGGAGAGGCCTAAGCTCCAAGCGTCAGTGGGAATTACTGGGAGCTAGGAGTAGCCATATAATTATATTCACAGGCGGCTAGCTCAGGCCCTAGAATCATAGACGTGAATATTGTATTAGCAGTGTACTTATCTTTGCCGCTAAAGTTGCGTGGCGTCCTAAGTGGAGTATATTGTGAAGGCCGCTTATACTCGGCGCAAAAAGGTGTCCCGGTGGTTTTTACACCATTAATCTTCAACGGGATCCAACTCGAGACATTTCAAAGCAACGGGTATAATATTTCGAAAGCACGAAAGTTTTACGACTTCAGATTTCTATTTATCAAAGGCGTGCTAGTTTGAACTAAAATGCTTCTGAAGAGCAGTCGGGGTTCAAACTTCGGATGCCAAGACGGCCTTCTTCGATAACCCAAATCTGCCTCCCGCAGGGGCATAGACTGAATTAAAGGATGTTAATATGTTTTAGTTGTTTATTTATTTGTTTTTTACACTGATGGGTTTTCTTAGATCCTGTGAAAATAATCGTTAACATTTTTGTAATATTGTAGAATCTCAGGCTTAAAAGGCTTTCATTGCCTGAGAGCCAGCAACAACGTCTGATGGTAACTTTAAGCTTTCTCGTGTTTATTATTATTATTATTATTATTATCATCATTATTATCATTATTATTATTGACAATAACTGAATAATAATAATAATAATAATAATAATAATAATAATAATAATAATAATGATAGTATCATTATCATTATTTTCATGCAGTCTCTGTAACTGTAAAACCCTCAAAGGGGAAACTCTCTTCTTACCAGATTGCCCACACTTAGCACGTTGTCCTTCAAGAGATATGTTCTTCACGTCTGTCATCAAAAGAAACTTTGCTGTCGCATCTAATGAACTCAACGGACTATTAGCTACTATATTATAAACACTTATTAATTAAGTTCATATATTTCCACATGCTTTTGCAATACTCTAATCTTCTGTTGTAGTCATGCAAATAGAGTCTGTTGTTGCTGTTGCTGTTGTAAGAGCTCTAAGCTGCCTGATCTGAAATGTAAAATAGGTTGTATTAAGTATTTCGAAACACCTCGTGACGGTTCAATCAAAGTCGTAAGACTTACTAGTCTTGTTTTGAAGACTTCTCAGAGAGAAACGCCCCCGGCCAATCCCCGGGGATAGGCCGTTGGGGGCGAGGTTGAACATTTACTAGAATCAACTTAATTATGGGCCTCTACTAATATTCTTTATAATCTGAAACATTCTAGAACAGTTTACTACACCCTAGAAAGGTGAAAACATGTTTGATATTGAGTCCTTTCAAACGCAGGAGTGTCTTGTAAATGGTACATAGTTCTTATAGGTTGCCTCTTACGGGACATGTCAAGAACATAGTACTTGGATTTATTAAATTGCTCTCCCAACTAACATAGGAGTGAAAGATCTTTCTGTAGCTCGAGGCAGTCAACTAGAGAATTGATCCTATATATAACACAGTCGTCTGCAAAGAGTCTCATATGAGAGTTTGTGTTATAATGGATGTCGTTAATGAAGATAAAAAACAACAACGGACCTAAAACGGTATCTTGTGGTACACCAGATGTTATTAAGACCTCCACAGATTTAACGCCTTCCAGGACTACTCGCTGAGAGTGTTGCGTTAAGAAACATTCTATCCATCCAAGGATAGAACTTTCTAAACTATGTTGTTGTAATTTTAATAATAGCCGCTGATGAGGGACATTGAAAAATACTTTAAAGGAGTCCATGATAACTAGATCGATCTGCTTTCTTTGGTCAAGGGCACTAGCGAGTTCATCGATTAAAACTGAGAAGTTGGGTGTCGCAGCCGGGAAACTCGGAGGGAAATTTGCGTCTCAAAATCGATTGGGCTAGGTTATACTTGGACGGAAATTTATGTCAGTAATTTGCAGAAAGGTTTTACTGAAACTCTCCGTGAGGACGTAGACCTTCCTAAAACGCAGCCACGCAAGTTCTTTGTCCATATGGACCGAGGAAATCCAAGCCGAGAGTGAAGAGTGAACTCCGCAAACAGCAATAAACTGTAACACTTTTTGACTGCAATGATTTGGCACATCAGGGGCACCCAGCGGCAATTTTCGGGAAAATATCTGTTCGGAAGACGATTTGAGATCTAGAATTTTCGGAACATTTGTTGTAAAATTTCTTGCTTGCCTGCCTCTCCTAGGATTTTCGAACACCTACAAACTAGGAAATCCGAACAGATGGAAAGTTTTTAGGGGATAAAAATATGCCTATATCTACCGTTTGAATACTAAACTACGTTCAACAATGCTATGTTAAGTGGTTTTGAACTATATCCTCGTTGGGTGCCCCTGGCACATGTAATAGTCCTTTGGCAAAGACAAAAATTTATACGTTAAGTTACCGTTACTGCTTTGTTACTTTGTGTTTGAGGGCAATTTCCAAGTATAAGCCCCCAGGGGCTTATATTCGAAGTGGCGATTTAACGGATTTTTTTTTTTTGCGTTACGAGTTTGGGGGTTTTATATTTGGAGGGGCTTATTTTCGGAATTTTACGGTATAATGTAACAAGTGAAGCAAATCCCTCTGAACAAGCTGTGACGTACGTCACAAACTCTTTCAACAATGTTTGTAGTTTGTGTATATGTCTTAACAGCCTTTAAATTTAGATAGTTCTGCTATACCAATAAATTTCAACAGTTCGTCCAACTAAAAGGAAAAAAAGAAACCTGACTGCTTTTCACGTCCATCTGTGGGAAATGTCTTTAGATCGATCGGAAGTGAGTTTAATCAAAATTTAAATCCCGGTATGTTACATTTCATAACAGTCTATATTTTCAGCCTCTAATTATGAAATGCATATTTCCATACAAATTCCATCATTGTTGCAGGATATTGTTTAATGTCAAGCAAGAGAGTTTTGGATATGTTTTACCAATAACCCAGCTGGCAACAAAACCTAAGGTAAGATATGTCAGAACTTAGTACAGCGAAGTGCTATTTAAATGACAGAAATGTTTGATGGCGTATGGAGGCTGATCAAAAGAAAACGTCCTCAAACCTACGATGTTTCTACGAGTCCAAAGTTCAGACCGTTACAAATGAAGAAACAATTACTGAAGACGAAAGAGACATCTGAGTTGGACTTGAAAATCGGTGAGTTTTTTTGCCAGTTGTTCTTGAAAATCGGAGTTTGTTTTCAAAAATTGGAATTTGTTTTCGAAAATCGGAGTTTGTTCTCTAAAAGTGGAGTTTGTTTTAGAAAACCGGAGTTTGCTTTCTAAAATTGGAGTTTGAACATCGGAGTTTGCCTTTCAAAAATCGGAGTTTGTTTTCGAAAATCGGAATTTGCTTTCAAAAAGGAGGTTTAAATCCGTAGTTTAAAAATCGGAATTTTACTTAAACTTCGTCTCAGGCTGTGCGCTTTCTTCAGCCACGTTGGGCCGACCTTAAGGCGAGGAATTTGGGGGATACATGTAAAGGTAAGCTCCTGTCAACACAATGCTTTGATTTCTTTACAAGAAAGTAATCGATCTACAGCCAGTGATTATTCTTCTTCACCTTTCAGCCACACCTGCCCCTATTTTTTTGGACATGAAAACAGCTACCTAGAAGAATAATCAATCTGTAGATCAAGTACTTTCTTGTAAAGGAATCAAGCATCTCGACAAGAGCTTACCTCTTCACACGACCTTTCCGCACATTCTGGTACCAAAGCTCAGGTGAATCTCTATTGTCAAACTCCGGTTTTCAAACAGCTGATTTTCAAACACCGATTTTAGAAAACAAACTCAGATTTTTGAAAACTAAGTAGGATTTTCAAACTCTAATTTTTGAAAACAAACTCCCGTTTCCAAAAAAAATGCCATTTTCGAAAACAAATTCCAATTTTTGAGAACAAACTCTAGTTTTCAACAAAACAAACACCAATTTTTCAAGTCAACCTCAGATGTCCCTTAAAAGCTGTGAATGCTGACCACATTGCCGATTAGACAGTATCAGACCCAGTGCTACTGCAGGTTCTCAGAAGAGTTCAGCAGGACTAAAGTGAAAAATGCCCTGACAAAAGCCTGGAGCCTTTCTACGTGAGGAGAAACGAATTAAGCACACACAATGGTTGTATCTTGTGGGGGAACCGTGTGGTGATACCAGCTCGGGGTCAGAAACAGCTCTTAGAGGACCTGCTCACCGCCCACCCAGGAATGGTCAGATGAAAAATATGGCGCGGAGCTACCTGTTGTGGCCAGGGCTGGATACAGACATTGAAGATAAGGTCAAGTCATGCAAAGTATGTTGCTCACCTGTACATTACCTATAAAAGGGGCCACGGCATTCAGCCATTAAACAACTTCCAGTTTTAAAGCCATTTCGATCATAACGAAACAGTCTTGATCTCTTCCTTAATTTTATTCGTATTATCTGCTCTTCAAGTCTATTTCATCAATGCTGGTCCTGTGACGGAGAGGCTGACGTCGTTCCACACCTTCTCATCTGAACAAGACGCTCTTTGTCCACCAGGAGTATGGACCTGCTCAACTGGAAAACGATCACTGAGTGGCAAACTGTTGTTAAGAACCCAAGATAGCGTCACCAGGGGTAGTTGTCCACCGGGCGTGTGGACATGCTCTACTGGAAAGCGATCGCACATACCAAATAGACAATTTACAGCAATTGCTGTAACTGCACAAGACAATAATGAAGATAATGGTAGCAAAGACCCAGCCTACAGATCACGACATATCTCAACGAGTAGAAAGAAGAAAACAATCAAGAGGATGCTTAAAAAGAGAACACCCACAATGAAGGGCTTCCAAGCCTCGAAAGTTGTTTGCCCTCCAGGCGTCTGGACATGTTCTACTGGAAAACGATGAGAGGCGTAAAAAAAATACTCAGCTAAAGTGACTTGACGATTTAGTCTGCGACAAGGGATGATTGTTTACTCAATAAACCCTTTCCTACCACGATCAATAGCAGACCATGTCTGCACGAGAACTTTGTTCGAATTAAACATTTCGCGTTTGTAAAAATACGTGACGTGGATATTCTTTCTATGATCAAAATAAACAAGATTATAAGTAGAATAAAGGGATATTTTAACAGGAATATTATGTCAGTGCTTGTCATTACTGCACCAAGAAAATATTTTCAACGAGCTTGAATACTTGTTTTTACTAGCATATAGAGTATGAGAGATTTTAATAAAGAGTTTGTCACAAGGATCATTACGAAATAATTGAGTGTTTGTTGGTTGCTGTTAGTTTTACGAGGGGCTCTAGTTCATACTTTTATGGTTATAATAAAATGTAATTGACCAAACCGATATACTCATACCTGAGCCTTTAACATTTCCAAACCACAGAACAGAACACAGCCCTCTGCACAAGCCGTGACATCAAATACTGTTAACAATGCGGGAATTTATGCCTTAAACTCAAACAGAGAATTGGACGATGTCATTGGAAATAAGTTAATCTATAAAATCTTTTTTTTGAAAGTCAAAACCAGTTTCACAGATAAATCAAGAGGGTTAAAGTTTTGATCCGTCGTTCTACAAGAGCAGTGAACGTTCTAACAAGTTTTGCAAGTTCTTACGAACAGAGGGGAAAAAAAGAAACGTTCTTATTTTTGTTTCCATACATTGATAATCCCTTTAGATCGACGGGAAATATTTGATGACTTCTTCGATCGTACGCGCGTTGGATCATATTACAATAAGGTATAATTTCAACCACTAGTTATTTTAGGTGAGCTCTGCTTCTTACAGTCTACCACTATAAACTTGTGTACCGAGAGGGATGTAAACATGGTAATGCTGATGGTCTCAGTCGGTGACCCTTGTCTGATACAGTAGTCACAGCCCTAGTACCGGATGAAACAATACTCCTAATGGAAAGCCTGGAAGTCATGCCTGTGAAAGTTGATCACATTGCAGCTTGGACAGCCTCAGACCCAGTTCTACAGCAGGTTCTCAGCAGAGTTCGGCACGGCTGGGGTGATAGATGCCCTGACAAAAGCCTGGAGCCTTTCTTCGTGAGGAGAAACGAGTTGAGCACACACAATGGTTGTATCTCGTGAGGGAACCGTGTGGTGATACCAGCTCGGGGTCAGAAACAGCTCATAGAAGACCTGCTCACTGCCCACCCAGGAATGGTCAGATGAAAAATATGGCGCAGAGCTACCTATGGTGGCCAGGGCTGGATACAGAAATTGAGGATAAGGACAAGTCATGCAACGTATGTCAATTTCATAGAGCTGCACCTCTGCATTCCTGGGAGTGGCCTGAAAAGTGCTGGTCCCGCATACATATAGACCATGCAGGGCCATTTATGGGACAGTTATTCACCTATTTTTTTAAAAAAAGCTCATATGTCAGTGGTGTGAGCGTATGTATCTTTGTGGCTTTGTCTGTTGGGATGTGTGTTACAGGGGCCATTAGGTTGAAGGTACCATAAGTTGATGGCTAAGGAACGAATGAGATTTCGCAATCTAAACATGACATTGCTGCGCTTAAGGTCAAACAAGGGCATTTTGAGACTGCCATCTTGATTCTTCACAATTTTGTCGTCTTTTTTCACAGCTGAAGGTGTTTAGAAGCATAACATATAAATATCTTCATGATCCAAACTTCGAGTGCAGTGATGCAGCTGTTTAAGGGTTCATATGTTAACGTGGCTGCTGGTTCAAGACATTTATGACCTTATTCGAATGATAATGCCGGCGGCTTAGAGATTGTACTCAAACTTTCACAATTGCCCTTGAAGCTTCGCTTCTCGGGCAAATGTTTATGTTTCGAACAACCTCTGAGCCGCGAGCATTTTCCTGCGATATTCCAGCCGCCGGGAGATGTTTGTTTACTAAATATTCAGTCAGAGAGTTTTAAGTATGTTTTACAAATAACCCAGCTGACAACAAAACCAAAGGTAAGATTTCTGAGAATTTAGTACAGCAAAGTGTTATTTAAAAGAAAGGCATTTTTAATGGCGTATGGAGGCTGATCAGAAGAAAGAGTCCTTTAGCCTACGATGCTTCTACGAGTTCAAAATTCAGACCGATAGACTATCTGCTATTTGCGGGAACCGACGATCATATTAAGGTTTATTCAAATTACGATAGTTCTGTAAATTTTAAAGTTATCATTGTTCTGTGGTAATTTTACTTTTTAAACCACTTAAACGCAAATTAAGCACACTTGCTGATTTCGTAACATAATGTCGCTCAGCTGTACATTACCTATAAAAGGGGGCACAGCATAGAGCCATCAAATAATTTCAAGTTTTAAAGCCATTTCGATCATAACAAAACAGTCTTGATCTCAACAAGTACTCTTCCTCAATTTTATTCGTATTATCTGCTCCGAATCTGCTCTTTAAATCTATTTCATCAATGCTGGTCCTGTAACCGAGAGGCTGAAGTCGTTCCACATTTTCTCATCTGAACAAGACGCTGTTTGTCCACCAGGAGTATGGACCTGCTCAACTGGAAAACGATCACTGAGTGGCAAACTGTTGTTAAGAACCCAAGATAGCGTCTCCAAAGGTAGTTGTCCACCGGGCGTGTGGACATGCTCTACTGGAAAGCGATCACACATACCAAATAGACAATTTACAGCCATTGCTGTAACTGTACAAGACAATAATGAAGATATTGGCAGCAAAGACCTAGCCTACAGATCACGACATATCTCAAAGAGTAGAAAGAAGAAACTGTTCAGGAGGATGCTTAAAAAGAGAACACAGACAATGAAGGGCTTCCAAGTCTCAAAAGTTGTTTGCCCTCCAGGCGTCTGGACATGTTCTACTGGAAAACGATGAGAGGCGTAAAAAAATACACAGCTAAAGTGACTTGACTATTTAGACGGCGACAAGGAGAATAACGTACTTAATAAAGCCTTTCATCCTACGATCAATATATAAGACCATGTCTGCATGAGAAATTTGTCCGAATTAAACATTTCACGTTTGTAACGATCAAAATAAACAAGATTATAAGTAGAGTACAGGGACATTTTACCAGGAATATTATGTCAGTGCTTATCATTACTGCAGCAAGAAAACATTTTTTTGACGAGCTTGAATATTCGTTTTTACCAGCATACAGAGTATGGCAGTTTTTAATAAAAGAGTTTATCACAAGGAACATGACGAAGTAATTGTGTGTTTGTTGGTTTTTGTTAGTTTTACGAGGGGCTCTAGTTCACACTTTTATGGTTACAATAAAATGTAATTGAACAAACCCCTTAACTCATACCTAAGCCTTTAACATTTCCAAACCACTTGTCACAGAACACAGCCCTCTGCACAAGCTGTGACGTCAAATACTGTCAAAACAATGCAGGTATTTATGCCTTAAACTCAAACAGAGAATTGGAAGATGCCGTTGAAAACAAGGTAATCTATAAAATCCTTCCTTGAAAGTAAAAACCAGTTTCACAGATAACTCAAAAGGGTAAAAGTTTTGATCCGTTGTTCTAAAAGAGCAGTAAACTTTTTAACAAGTTTTGCAAGTTCTTACGAATAGAGGGGAAAAAAAGAAACGTTCTTATTTTTGTTTCCATTCATTGATAATGTCTTTAGATCGACGGGAAATATTTGATGATTTCTTTAATCGTACGCGCGTTGCATCATATCACAATAAGGTATATTTTCAACCACTAGTTATTTCAGGTGAGCTCTACATCTTACAGCCTACGGCTATGAACTTGTGTACCGAGAGGGATCGATGTAAACATGGTAATGCTGATGTTCTCAGTCGGTTACCCTTGCCTGATACAGTAGTCACAGCCCCAGTACTGGGTGAAACCATACTCCTAATGGACCGCCTGGAAGTTATGCCTGTGAAAACTGATCACATTGCAGATTCCACAGCCTTAAACCCAGTTCTACAGCAGCTTGTCAGAAGAGTTCAGCACGGATGGGGTGATAGATGCCCTGACAAAAGCCTGGAACCTTTCTCCCGGAGGAGAAACGAGTTGAGCACACGCAATGGTTGTATCTCTTGAGGGAACCGTGTGGTGATACCAGCTCAAGGTCAGAAAAAGCTCTTAGAGGACCTGCTCACCGCCCACCCAGGAATGGTCAGATGAAAAATATGGCGCGGAGCTACCTATGGTGGCCAGGGCTGGATACAGACATGAATATAAGGTAAAGTCATACAAAGTATGTCAATTTCATAGAGCTGCACCTCCGCATTCCTGGGAGTGGCCTGAAAAGTGCTGGTCCCGCATACATATAGACTACAGGGCCATTTATGAGACAGTTATTTAGCTATTTTGAAAAAAAAAAAAGCTCATATGTCAGTGGTGTGAGCGTATGTATCTTTGTGGCTTTGTCTGTTGGGATGTGTGTTGCAGGGGCCATTAGGTTGAAGGTACCATAAGTTGATGGCTAAGGAACGAATGAGATTTCGCAATCTAAACATGACATTGCTGCGCTTAAGGTCAAACAAGAGCACTTTGAGACCGCCATCTTGATTCTTCACAATTTTGTCGTCTTTTATTACAGCTGAAGGTGTTTAAAAGCATAACATTTAAATATCTTCATGATTCAAACTTCGAGTGCAGTGATGCAGCTGTTCAAGGGTTTATATGTTAATGTGGCTGCTGGTTCAAGACATTTATGACCTTATTCGAATGATAATGCCGGTAGCTTAGAGATTGTGCTTAAACTTTTACAGTTGCCCTTGAAGCTTCGCTTCTCGGGCAAATGTTCATGTTTCGAACAGCCTCTGAGCCGCGAGCATTTTCCTGCGATTTTCCAGCCGCCGGGAAATGTTTGTTTACTAAAAGCTACTAAATATTGAGTTAGAGAGTTTTGAGTATGTTTTACAAATAACCCAGCTGGCAACAAAACCGAAGGTAAAATTTCTCAGAACC